GCTACAGGGGCTCCTGGCCGTACTACTAGGAGCAAGTAGCTACTAGTAACAAGAAGCTACTAGGAGCAAAGGACATCGCTACTAGGGGCTTTGTCCAGGCCATACGGTAAAAGCAAGAACACGATAGAACGAGAATCATCAGACATGCTGACAGGCACTGACAGTGAGACACACGCAAAGGTCATTATATAAGCGTACAATGCTGCAACGTGAATATTACAAGGGAAAAGAACAACACGAAGCGAAGATTGGAATGAATAGGGCACAGCTAGCAACCACTCTCATGCAGTTCGTGGCAAGGCTTACCTTGTCTACATGACGATTACATGGATTTTGCTGCTGGTCCTTCCACTCCTACCGTGGGTGCTACTGTCCACAGGTTGGAGCTGGGGCGTCGTGAGTGGGGTAAGAAGTCACAAGTTTGCGGCTCCTAGCTCTTGGATGCATCGATGTCCTTCATGGCGCTTAATAGGCTTGGTTTTCTTTATACTTAACAGAAAGGTGTCGTCATAAAATATCCTAGTCACCATACTATAGGAGGAGGATCAGTTGAGTGTTGCTTGCGAGTTGATTGTTCCATCAAGGCATCAAGGCAGTGAAGGCAGTGCTGGGTACCGACTACTGAAAATCTGCACGCAGCAGCAGTTTCCGCCAATGATTATGATCTATAAAATTGCTGTGGCGATGTGCAAAGTGAGTGTTTGTGGTGTTGAACCCTGATTTTATGCGTGATGATTTGTGAACCGGTGGATGCTGTGGTGTGTTTATCAACTCAGACCTTCACGCGCAACCCAAACTGTTTACGTGTCTCTATAATATTTCTCTGGAACTCTAGAAGTCACAAAGACTATTATACATGTGTTTGACCCCCTACCGCTCTTTACTTTTTCTCCAGAAGCCTTAACTGTTTTTTGTTTTGCTTTTCCTTCTAGAATGAGCAGAGTTCATTTTTGCAGAGTGGTCTCTAAAAGATGGATGTCAGACTGAGGCACTTCCGATTTCAATCGTGAGTGTTCAAAATGGTGGTTTGATGTGAACAGTGCCCGTCCTAATGTCATACATTTGCACTTCTGCAGCTTTGCTGCTTGAGTTGCACCATGGGGCCTGAATGAAACAAATTGCTGTGGCGGTCACAGGAACGGCTGGCTTTGAAATCTCAATGTTCGCGTTGCAGACTGCACGCTTTGGGCCATTGAGCCGCTGCATGTGTACAAGCGAGTGGCTGATGCTTGCTCTCTTCAGCACAGACATTAAACTGATATCGTCTTTGAATTCAGGCTCCGAGGTAGAGCTGGAGCTTGTGGCAAGAGCTATTGTGTGATGCAGTGAGATGCCCCTTGCATCTCGCCGCGGGGCGAACATGGGCCCTATGGAGCCTTTAGTCAATTGATTGCAGCTTTTACCACACTGTGATTCTTGCATGCTCTCTTTGGCAGGGAAGGTGCCGTGTAAAGACCTTATTATGCTTGCTGCAAACTTGAGTTTTACTGCTGGAGGAGTGGGTTTGATGTGCATTGACTCTTGGCACTTTGGAGCCACATTGCCGTTCAGCCCAGTCAATTGGTTGACAGCATGTTGCGGCAGCTGACTATCATCCTCGACCTTGAATCCGGTCGCTGGCAAAAGAAATTCATCTTGGTGTGCAAAGCAATGTGAGCTCAGGCCATGTGCGCTTCATTTCCTACACATACTGCAAAAAGAATCTAAACTAAATTTGACAAGATAGAGTCGATTTCTTTACCTTTGCAGTTGCAGTCACAACTGTTCATTCAACTTTTCGCCTAATTCTACTCCAAGCAGCTCTCATCAGCTCACTCTCAGTTGGATTCCACAGTTTATGCAAAAGCATCGCGTGCACGTTTCACGGCCTGATATGTGCGTTACCTATTTATGCCAACGCTTCATTTGGTAAGTTTCCAGCTGAGCTCTTTCATGCTGCGACGGCTCGAGGCTTTCTTGGTTGCTCGTGCTTTCTCAGGGTGTTCTAATCTGTAATCTATTTGATGGTCAGTGCAACACCAAATGTACTTGCAGCAACAAACCGGACGTGCAGGTGCAAACCTTCTGCCCCAGCGCCAAGAAGCTGTAGTTCGGGAACCGAGCAAGAGACGCCAAATTTGCCAAAAACACTTCTGTGTTGCGACATTTGATCATGAAATTGACACTTGTTTTTTGTTGTTTTGAAATGTGCCAGATCAGGTTCATAAGCACAGTAGAAGACCTTAGTATGCTCGGCAAGGTTACTCTATATATATGTTTTAAATATAGACGATAAGCTTCCGTGTTACAGACATATATATATATAGAAAGTAAGTAACAGTTGTACAATAACAGTAGCGTAAGTCACAGTTGTACAGTAACAATAGCGCCAGTGACAGTTGCACGGTAACATCATCAGTAGCAAAAGTCACAGTTGTACTGTAACAGTGGCGTAACTCACTTTTGCACAGTCAGTTGCAGCAACTAGCATTGTCATAACTTGAGGAAGTCTCGCACGATATGCTCATTCATGCTGAATGTTAATCTGTGAAAATGGTACAACATGTTTGTTTTGAAGCTTTCAGATGTAAAAAACATAGAGGAAGTCTCGAACATGTGTTTTTAGAGAGATAGCTGCAGGCTGTGACAAAACCTTTGTCTTCGCTTTGCCCAAATGGCGGTTGCGGAATGGGTTAACGGCGTTTCCTACTATGACTATCCGCACATTTTTCTGGTTGCGCTCGATGTTCAATCTCCGTTTTTTGGAGGAGGTCTTGCAGGACCGCTTTGCTTTCACGCCTTCAACTATCTTCAACTGTCATTCTTGCAAGGAGTCTTGCAGTAATTGTTTATTGTTCTATGATTTCTATGTTCAATTTTCAAGGTTGGAGAAAGTTTGGCACGAAAAGATTTCTAATTAATTTTGAAGCGTTGACTTTGAGATGTCGAAACTTGAGGAAGTGTTGCTGAGAACTGGCAGCTTTGCAGTGCGCACGTAGTACGTCAAGTAGCTTCTGGGAGTGTAAATGTAATGTGAATGTGGTATACGGAGCGTCGGGAAGCGAATGTTTCAGAGTTGGCAGCTTTGTAGTGCGGAGACTTGCTGGTGTGGCAGAATTTGAACTCTAATAGATGCCGGGAGCCCCTAGTAGCTTCTTGTTCCTAGTAGTAAGGCCAGGAGCCCCTAGTAGCGTCCTTGCTCCTAGTAGCGATGCCAGGAGCCCCTAGTAGCGTCCTTGTTAACTGGACTGCTGACAAGTTCAACATCAATATGATTACGGGCATTCTCCATCGTTTTACCATAAACACTATTGTTCATTGTTCATTAGTCTGAATGAATATTTCTCGAAATTGTTCTTAGCTTGTTGTATTTTTTCGGTATTAAATTCAATAAGTGGTTTAAAACCGTTTAAAATTGATTAAAGTAGTGTGTTCTATGAACTTGCTTAAGTTTCAATACGTGTTGTAATTAAATTTTAATGCTGATATGCTTGATATGTGAAGAACATACCGTTATTTTATCAGAACACGTTACCACCAGCCTGCGCTAAAACTGTAAATATTTCACTGTATTCTTGCATATCTAGTAGACTAGTGCAAAAACACTATATTTCAGTGAGTGTATTATACTAAATGCTTCAGTGTCTTCAGTGTCACATAACCAAAAAAACAAAAAAACAAAAAAAAAAAACTAAAAACAAAAACCAAAAAAAACAACCCAACCAACCCAAGACCCTCTGCAATCCATGAGTCTGTGTTTTTTTTCTTTTTTTTGTTTTTCAACAGGTTTTGGACACTGCACTCAGGAAAACCAAAAAGAAAACCTTTGGACCCAAGACCGTCTGCAAGCCATGAGTTTGTTTTTTTGTCTGTTTTTTTAGTTTTGCAATTTCACAAAATTCCTATGCCCATCCTGTTTGGCTCATAGTATTCCTTTTATCGTTCAATTTGCTTCTCTGCTATCTGTCGAGCCCATGGCTGTGAGGGACGGAATATTGAGTTTTGAAGAAGGTATAGGCAACTGGAGGATGACAAACAAATCAATTAACTTTCCAACTAATAAATACAAGTTTTTTCATAACAGTTTAATTGAAATTCCAAAAATCGAAAATGAAACAATAGATGTGGTGGATGAGTGGGACACCAAAGCAATATGTAAGCAAGTTGAAGAATTCAACCCATGTATGATCAGAGCAAAATTTGCGGGATCAGGCAAGTCATATATAGGACAGTATTTTAAGAAGATGGGTAAACATGTTTTATTCGTGGTGCCTCATAATAGGTTAAGTCAAGAAATAGAAGGTGATTCAACAACCTATAACATGTTCTTTAGAATCCCAGTTCATAAGGGGGATGAACTACCAGAGTTTGACCATCGTGAATCACAATTACAATGTTTAATGCAAAACAAAATGAAATAGAATTAAATGAGAAATAGATTGGAATTAAATTAGAATTGAATGAATAATATTAAACCAAAATCCATTATTCAAATTGACATTGATCTAGACCTAAGGTAGAATTGAATTAAAGATATTTAACCTAGGAATTAATCAATAGAACAATATTGCAATATTGATATAAAATTATGTTATAAATAATTCACTTTAATAAAAATTGCAAATTCACTTCGAATTCCAATAAATAGACTTTCAAATTCAATTTAGAATTAGATTGGAAATAAAAATATATTGCAAATTCACATATAAATTCAATTTGGAATTTAATATTAGATCCAGAATAATCAAAGATAATTACAAATACAACAAAACTAAATCAGAATAAAATTGACCTCTAATTTTTGATCATAATGAGTTTTAAAAAGACATAAACTTAATTTAGAATAATACATAAACTTAATTTAGAATGTAATTAGGTTCAATTTAGAATTGAAATAGAAGTCTATTACATATTCAAAACAAATTCAATTTAAAATTCATTGAGATCCAATTTTATTATCAATAAACATAGAAATGAAACAAATTCAATTAGAATAAATATTGATTTAGAATTTAGTTGAATTGTATTTAAGTCAAAATTCATAGAATTAAAATAGAATTGAGTCAATAACTATTTAGAAATGAATAAGAAATAATGCTCGTCCACATGAGAAGTTTTGGCTTTGGTATGAGCTGAAAACTTTAGACAGCAAGATTTGGCAGCTTGAAATGCTTAAAAAAGTGCACGCTCACAGTGACGAGCTCTCTATTTTATTCATAGCATTTAATACTACATAACTTATTTGTATGTTCATATCCGGCATTTTGTCGTTATGATATTTATGAAAACTACTTGAACATTTGATGACATATTCTCACTTATTGTCATCATTGCTGGTGCTAATGGGTAATCCTTATGTAAAGCATGCAGTTCTTAGGGAGATCTAAATCAACATCCAGTATATAACCTATGTCATCATTATCTGAATATATCATAGCGTTCATTTCATCAGACTTACCATAATGCCAATTGAGACTATTATATGGTAGTGTTTTGACACATAGCCACGACATAAAGATTATCAGCATCCAAGTAGCATAGAAATCGAAGGTAATGTGTTATCATGCCTTTTTTTCACATATTTGCGTGCGTTGAGAATTCCTCTCTCAAGCCTGTCTCTATCACTTCATACACACATCTCTTTCGGTTAAATATAGACAACCAATCGAATCGTAGTTAGGCAAGGTTATGTCATAAGCGGTGTGTAAACCATACTAAATAATCAAAAACATCAGTGAGCAAATAGACATGAGTCATTAAGTATACACCGCGATACTCACACATATAGATTGTTAACTTTAAACTATTCCATACAACCATACAACCTCAGCCCTGTTACATTTTTTAGTTGTATTTTCTCCATAAAGATGACTATATAAGTGTCCTTTGACTGGTAGTAGTTCCTCATCAAATTTACTGAACCAGTTCATACAGACCTAAGGATATATATATATTAATATATACGGGTTTGTGATTGTGTAGACCTTCCCAGTCTTTTGTTTTGTCATTGTCAATGTCAGGTTTATCAAGGTTTATCAAGTGAAGCTCGCTGACAGGAATGTTCGGAAAGAAAAGTCATAGCCTTTTATTTGTATTATTCAGCTCTTGATTTAATTCATGTGTTTTTTCTTTTACAATTATGTCAGAAAATTGGTATCTTAAAACAATCTAAATGAATAATCAACCACATTACATTTGACATGTCCCGCTCCTCTATACTTACCTGTGAAGTGGCAGTCGTCGCGGACTTTTCCATTGAACACCTAGTAGCATTCTTAGATTACATTTGTCCTTCATACATTAAATCAACCAGCGGTTTCTTAACATTAATTTTTCAAAAATATCAGATTTAATATTGCCCAGTTGCTCAATATGTTTTCTTCTTTTTCCATACAATCCTCACCTCTCTAAAGTTAAGGTGTTGACGTTTTATCAGTTCTATTTGCAACATTCAACATAGAACCGCACGGTTGGTGTTCTTGATAAGACTGTTTAATCCCGTCATGAGACTTAACAGTTTTACATTCAAAGTCACCGTATATGACAAGTGGACATTCTATTTTAGTATGGCATTTGTCAAATTCAATACAAGCACCTGCTTTTAGGTAAATATAAGTTTTGACCTTCATTTGTTAAGCAACCAGTATTGAAATCGTCATCAAGTCCATGTTTAGCTGAATAAGGATTGGAGCAACCTTTATAAATATATTTAGGACCATTACAGTTGTTTACTTAATAATTTGGTTACATTTTTACTATAACGCAATGAGGCCTATGTTTATCATCATAAGGGTTGCACGTTTAACACATCAATATGTAACTTGGCATCTCTAACTTTTGGACTTTTTGTTTTGACTACGTTTTCATTTTTGAATAAACTATCAACTTGAAACACATTAGCAGAAATCGATCCTTTGTTGTTTTCTTCAAGTCTCAATATCTCCATTATCAGCAGGAAAATTAGCAACATCCCAGTACTTAGCACAGTCCCAGTTTATCATTTTTCTCACTCTATTTTATAAGAGGAATATTTCTTCTGGGTGATGCTTTCTGATTCTATGAAGGACTGTAGATGTGAAGACAATATTTGTCAACATTTGTTACCTTTTTGATGTTCACACGAGCCTCTTTTGGTTTTATGAATACTTGTACTTCTTTACATCTCCTACTAGTAGTGTCATATCCGTCATTATGAATCCTTATTGAAATTGTGTTCTTAAATTGTTAGATTTGACCTAGAGCCTTCAATTTGTTCTATTTGTAGCAACATGTGTTTTACACTATCTAAATTCGCTTTATTCAAATCATCTTCATTGTGAACATCAAATCGTGTAGAAGGCAATTTTAAAACAATCGTTGCTTCTCTTGCTTCATCAACATCATGGCCATCACCATTAGGCGAACCAAATAGTGCTTGTGTTCTTATATTGAGTTTCATTTTGCGGTTATTCTTCAGAACATATGATAATAACTATTTTTGATGAGATATCATGTCTACTCTTTCCCTAGTTCCTTATTAGCTGTTTTGCGTATTCAGCCTGTTCATTCTTAAGTAAACAATATATATATAAGGTTTTTTATACTATAAAGTTACAGTACATTATTTTTTATATCATCAATCAATATTTCTTTCAGTCAAAACTCATTGAACAATATACTTCCGAAATATTAACTCATAATGGTATATATATTTGTGAGACTGAACAGGAAGAAGAAAGGATTAATGAATTCTTGAATACAATTTGTGTATATAAATGATATGTTTAAAGTTTGAACGCACAACCAATAAACTTACCTTATGAATTAGAAGAAGAGCAAGTTGAATTGATTAAACTAAATGTGTCAAAAGCTATTATCATTAACAGGTCGAATTAAATATATAGAGTGTGAAGGCTGTATTTGTGTAAAGGAGATTACCCAAAATTGTTCAAATAACAAACACATGCAAATCAATTGATGGATTAATAGTTGTGTTTGTTAAATAGCACTTCTTTCCAGATGAGAAGTTGCTACAAAAGGAGTCAGCTTTTCATTTGGAAGGATTCATTGTCCTAAACACATGTTCAATAAAATGTGTAAAAATAGTAGTCATTAAAGAAATCGTAATTTACCATATGCAAGTAGAGAAATTCAATCCAGATAGACAAGAAATATGGAAATCATGTTTGATGTAATCAGTCTGTAGAATGTCATGTTTTTATAGCAATGCCTTATGATGATGAAGACATCCCATAATCGTAATAGAGAAATATTGTTAGAAGGATGTTTTTATCGTTTTTGGCGCTGTTGTTTTGCGGCCTTGAACCTAGGTAAACATGAATGTTGTGATATGACATGTATGCTGATGTGATCTCATGATTTTCATATGAGGACATTTATGAATGAGTTGTGAGACTGCTATAAAAGGAACGCTTACCAGAACCCCGCGTATTTTAGCATTTTTTTGGGGGGGGGGGGCTGAACGTCCTCCCACAGAGTACCCATTGCTTGCCATGGGCCAAACTGCCCGCGTTTACTGCCAAAATATGTGTAGCCGGCGCTTGTTGAAACCTTGAAATCAGGTTTGCAAAGACCAACCGTGCCAAACAATCATATAAGGCTGGTGAACACTAATTTGTTTTGCCAGGGGCCCTTAAATTCTTATCCTTGAGTCTTCATGTAGACAATCCCTTGCAAAGCATACCATCTCAAAATTTAGAATTCCCCTACGATTTGCACCAAAGCTCCATGCATTTGTTCAACAAATTTCATCTGAAACATAGAATTTGCTTGTGATCAGCATCAAAACACAACGGATTTCTGATGGGAGGGTGGGCGGAGGATCCAGAACTGGCTTGTGATTAGCATCAAAACACAATAGATTGCTGATGGACTGGTAAGGCGGGGAACCAAGACATGTTAGACAATGTTAGACAAGTGGACAACAACTCTCTCTCTCTCTCTCTCTGTGCCTATACAGGTTTTGTCGGAGTTTCTATAACCCTTTCTCTTGTGGAAACTTCCGCCCCAGTGAGGGCATCGCAGAGAACAGTCGCTCAAAGACAGAATCTTTCTAAGGATCAGGTGATGTTGGACTCCATCGAGAGCGTACCCTTTGATATAAAACTCTTCACTGAGCAGCTTGGCTTCACTCCACTGGCGCAGCCGGTTGTTTGGTGCAGGACCCCTGGGGAGTTTCTTGTTGCGTTGCTGCCGCCGGCCATTTCTGTGTAAATGATGCGCAATGTTCATGTTTGCAAACAAGTTCAATGTAACCACCCCATACAACCACCCCATATTTTGACTTACGCTACTTACGCTAGATAATAGGAATGCGTGCGACCCAAGCCTTGAATACCATAACCAGCCAGTTTAAGACCAACACAATGTCCTTCCTCAACAACACTTAGAATAAAGGCATTACGTAAAGCTTTGGCGGACAGTGCAACGGTTGTCGAACAATTGAGCCGACACTGGTCGAAGACCCTTTTTCAAACCTGAAACAGTTGTTGCAGTCGGCCAAATCCAGTGCGCATTCTGTGTTGCAATGAATTGTTCATCGTAACTGGTGTTCGCTCTAAAAGTGAATGTTTGCCGGGCTAAAAAGCAACTTGTTTATGGAACCACCAAGGGATGCTAGCGCTTCAGAAGGCAGGTATTACTGTGGGGTGGCAAGGGCAAAGTATTACATGGAAATGAACATGCTTTCTTGTTCGATTTTCAGGATAAGTAGTTATTGGTATAATATATATATATATATACAGCTTGAACTGTGTATTGCCTACGCCTAGGCAAGAAACAATCCTATTGAACAATTTTCAACAATGGCGGACAATGTGTATTTTTCCTGATAGGCTCCTTGCAAGTGAGTGTAGGAGCAAACAGGAATTTTGGAAGTTTCAACCATTTTGACAGTTTTGTGCTGTTACTGTTTGAACCTTGTCGCACAGGTTTGATGCCGGCAGAGTGCTGTGTTTGCTGCGAGCGCTTTGGTCGCGAGAAGGTCATCAAGCGAACACCCTGCAATCACGTTTTCCATGAGGACAGACAACAGCTTTAAGATCAAAACTGTATAACAGTGAAAACGACATTCGGGTTATAGATTCAAGTGAATGCATGTATTTGCGTAATGTAATCTGATAACCAGTCTACATGCATTGATTGAGCCTGCGGCGCCAGTGCAGGATTGCTTGGCAAGATGGCTGAAGGCGCAACACCGAAACCAGATGATCAAACCGCAAGAATAAGTAGCAGTCATACTGGCCTGAAACCATCAATCCTGTGCTTCACTTCAAAAGTATAGAAGCTTGGAAAAGTTGTTGCTACTTGTCCAAATTCACAACGGACCAAAAGTTGCATTTTTTGTGGATGTCAGGTCACAGACTCCTGTCCAGTTTGTCGAAAGTCCATGCGGAAGGCGAGAGGGAAGAAGGAACACGTGTTGGACACCTTGCGTTGCCAGGGTTAGCCAGTTGTTGAGTTAACCGAAGAAAGCACTGTATTTACAACGAGCCATCCTGCTTGAAATGTAGGGAAGAAAACTCAAACAAATTGTCCAGCTGGAGTAAGAACACGTTGACTGTCATATCCACGACCAAGACCATAGAGTGTTTTTCAGGTTGAAGACCCAGAGTGGGGACCATCAGAAGAGTGCCTTGGAAATTGCCTTGGGAACCACGTGGCTTTTGCTTGAGTCCCGGTATCGAGACATGAAAATTCAAGGGGCCCTTTATCTTCTTGTTGCATTTGTGTTCTTTGTCCTTTCATTCAGACGGGCTGTTTATACTTTTGAGTGCGATTGATTTGTTTTGCATAAAGCTTCGAGAACTGGTGTTCGTGTTTGCCTTCCTTCGTGCAGCTGGCGAAACTGCAAGTGGATTCTGCACTAAATCCCTCTGAGGTGTGCCCCAACCAGTCCAACTTCCCCTGCAAGTGACGGAGAATCGTTCGAGAATACCTGAGTCAAAGAAGTGAAGATTCATTCGGCATTTGATTCAACTGCTGATTGGACTCCATTTAGTTAGTGAGTTGGTGTTCTCAAGAAAGCCAACACCAGTGTGCTGCCCAGAATCTTGGGTGAAGGCGCAGACCGCCTGTTTTGCATAGAAGAGCGAGACATATGAAAGGCCGCATGAAAATGAAAAGACTGTGAATTGAGGACGGGTCTCCAAACAAAACCGGACTGAGACCTGCAAAGTCTTCAACAGTCAACAGGCCACACTGTTGCGACCAACATTTGATGCCACGCAAGATACGACAAGCTGCAGATATTTTTGGCAGTATGGATGGAGGGTCGAGTCGAAGTGAGTTCATTGACTGCTCCACAGGAGGAAGTCGACCGTCTTCGAAGGCAAATTTGTGTCACCTGGCACAGGTTGTCAGGCATTTGGCCAAGTGGGGACGAATGACTCATGCAAGCCATTGATACAATGACCTGGACAAGGATAAATTATTGCGACGTGTGCACACGTCCAAATCATACTCTTGCACTGCTTTGATTGAAGGGGGCTCAAAACTTGCCGAATTATATATTGGGGTTTTCAACTTCACGCAACAGTCTCATCAAGGTCACCTATTTGTTCTCCCCTACGTGATTGCTGCGAAGTGCCAATTTATACATATATGACATATAGCTGGTTCCAGTCAAGCACTACCTGTTTTTCTGTCCAAAAGATGGCTTTGCCTTGGCTGGGCAATGTTGCACATGAGTCTTCGAAGCAGTGCCATGCCGCTCATATCCAGTTACGCTGTTACACCAGAATCACTTGACTCTGACGATGTCTTTGCACACGGACAGAGGTTGGTGAGGTGGGCAGTCCGTTCACTATGCCTTTGTCTTTTGTGTGTGTGCGAATGTGCTATTGCAGGGCAAATCGGTCCTTAGAAGAGGAGTTGCGAAAGCAGCAGGCGAGGTGGGCAAGCTGCGTGTTGTAGGACCAAGCAACTATTGGAAGGGCGAAAGTTGCTACTGCTACCTTCAGTCGAACTTATTCTTCTTCTGCAATTGTTCTACTTTTGTACAGTACCAACCCCCCAGTAGGCGCAGTGAAGTGATCAAATCATAGTGCCGCACATACTGTATTTGAATACGATCACTGGAAGAGATGCGGTAGACATTGACCTGAGCACACAGCTGTTGACACCAACATATACAAGTAGTTCCCCGGCAAGCCGGCGGCGGAAGTTTCCAAAAGAATAAACCTATAGGAAATGGGCATGTGGCAGGCTGATTCGCCGAGCTGCGATGTTCTTTGACAAAACAAGTTGGAACCGACCAATGGAGCGAAAGCGAAGCAACCACCGTCAACTGTCTCGCAGGAAAAACACGTTTTTCATGCATTTTTGCAAAAAACAGAATAGAGAAGACTCAGCCGCGTACTAAAGTTGTACTACAAAGTCGCCAGTTCTCAGCTTCCAGCTCCACGGCTTGCTCCGCGTACTAGAGCTGTACTACAAAGTCGCTAGTTCTCAGCTTCCAGCTCCACAGATACTCCGCGTACTAAAGTTGTACTAGAAAGTCGCCAGTTCTCAGCTTCCAGCTCCCCAGATTGCTCCGCGTACTAAAGTTGTACTACAAAGTCGCCAGTTCTCATCTTCCAGCTCCCCAGGTACTCCGCTTACTAAAGTTGCACTACAAAGTCGCCAGTTCTCAGCTTCCAGCTCCACAGATTGCTCTGCGTACTAAAGTACTACTACAAAGTCGCCAGTTCTCATCTTCCAGCTCCCCAGATACTCCACGTACTAGAGTTGCATTACAAAGTCGCCAGTTCTCAGCTTCCAGCTCCCCAGATTGCTCCGCATACTAGAGTAGTACTACAAAGTCGCCAGTTCTCAGCTTCCAGCTCCACAGTTTGCTCCGCGTACTAACGTTGTACTAGAAAGTCGCCAGTTCTCATCTTCCAGCTCCCCAGATACTCCGCGTACTAAAGTTGCACTACAAAGTCGCCAGTTCTCCAGCTCCACAGATTGCTCCGCGTACTAAAGTTCTACTACAAAGTCGCCAGTTCTCATCTTCCAGCTCCGCAGATACTCCGCGTAGTAAAGTTGTACTACAAAGTCGCCAGTTCTCAGCTTCCAGCTCCACAGATGCTGCGCCTGCCACGAAATCTGCACATGGAGGTTCACAAAGCGCTGTGCCGGCCACGAAATCTGCACCTCGATGTTCACAAAGTGCTGCGCCTGCCACGAATTCTGCACATGGAGGTTCACAAAGTGCTGCGCCTGCCACGAAGTCTGCGCATGGAGGTTCACAAAGTGCTGCGCCTGCCATGAAATCTGCACACGGAGGTTCACAAAGTGCTGCGCCTGCCACGAATTCTGCACATGGAGGAACACAAAGTGCTGCGCCTGCCACGAAATCTGCAACAAAGTGCTGTGCCTGCCACGAAATCTGCACCTCGAGGTTCACAAAGTGCTGCGCCTGCCACGAATTCTGCACATGGAGGTTCACAAAGTGCTGCGCCTGCCACGAAATCTGCACATCAAGGTTCACAAAGTGCTGCGCCTGCCACGAAATCTGCACATATATAGAGGTTCACAAAGTGCTGCGCCTGCCACGAAAACTGCGCTTCAAGAAACAAGTGAAAACTCTAACCACAATGGAGTGACGATTCCGAGCATGAGCATGATCCGACCATGATCCAACCATGACCCGAGACCGTCTCGCACACATCGTTCCGCAAAGCTTGACTGGCCAGCTTCGGAGCCACCCTGACTATTGAAAAACATAGCACTTCGCGCGTCCGCTATCTCTCGAAAACCTATTTTATATTGCGCCTGCCACAAAATCTGCACCTCAAGCTTCACAAAGTGCTGTGCCTGCCACGAAATCTGCACATGGAGGTTCACAAAGTGCTGTGCCTGCGACGAAATCTGCACATGGAGATTGACAAAGTGCTGCGCCTGCCACATGGAGGTTCACAAAGTGCTGCGCCTGCCACGAAATCTGCACATGGAGGTTCACAAAGCGCTGCGCCTGCCACGAAATCTGCACTTCAAGAAACAACTGAAACCTCTAATCACAATGGAGGGACGATTCCGAGCATGATCCGACCATGATCCGACCATGACCTGAGACCGTCTCACGCACATCGTTCCGCAAAGCTTGACTGGCCAGCTTCAGAGCCACCCTTTCTATTGAAAACCACAGCGTTTTGTGCGTCCGCTATCTCTCGAAAACGTTTCCTCAAGCTTCACAAAGTGCTGTGCCTGCCACTCATCTGCACATGATGCTAACTGGAGCTAGAGCTACCTGGAAGAGCTAACTGGATGATGAGTGGTGTATGATGAGTGGTGTCTCATGAGTGGTGTATGATGAGTGGTGCATGATGAGTGGTGTCTGATGAGTGGTGTCTGATGACTGGTGTATGATGAGTGGTATGATGAGTGGTGTCTGATGACTGGTGTATGATGAGTGGTATGATGAGTGGTGTATGATGAGTGGTGTACTGATGAGTGGTGTATTGATGAGTGGTGTATTGATGAGTGGTATGATGAGTGGTGTATTGATAAAAGTTAATTTCGTTGCAACTAGCTGTCAAATCAAAACAACTAGCTGTCAACGATATGAGTGCTCAGCTACCATTGGGCCTTGTTCTTCCAATGGAGTCTGTGGCTTCATGGATGTCTGGGTATGGAAAATGGATAAGCCAGAAGGATTTGGAACAAATTTTTTGCTGCGCCAGAGGGCATTTTTCCCGAAAGCATTGCGAAGGGTTCTTCCGGAAAATCCTTTGAACACTGACACTTCGACACTTACACTTAGACACACCTAGACATTGACACTTTCACCACACTGGCAGGATAAATAACATGAACGCTATACGTAGCCCTGTCAAAGTATGCAAGTGGAAGTATGCAAGTGTAAGTATGCAAGTGATGAGTATGCATGCAATGAGTATGCAAGCATGCAATGAGTAGGCAAGCATGCAATGAGTAGGCAAGTGAACTAGCCCGGGAGATGTCCTAATGAAAAAACATTTCCCCACTTTATAAATTCTCTCTTAAAGGCGGAGGGTGGGACGAACAGCGTCAACCGAAAGTGCAACCCTCTGCGGAGATCGTGCGTGTCGAGCGCGCGAAATGCAGGTGAGAGTGCGATGTGCCGGCTGCCCGCGCAACCCTCTGCGGAGATCGCGCGTGTCGAGTGCGCGAAATGCAGGCGAGAGCGCGATGTGTCCGGTCCGCGCGCAACCCTCTGCGGAGATCGTGCGTGTCGAGTGCGCGAATGCAGGCGAGAGTGCAATTTGCCGGCTGCCCGCGCAACCCTCTGCGGAGATCGCGCGTGTCGAGTGCGCGAAATGCAGGCGAGAGTGCGATTTGTCCGGTCCGCGCGCAACCCTCTGCGGAGATCGTGCGTGTCGAGTGCGCGAAATGCAGGCGAGAGTGCGATTTGTCCGGTGCGCGCGCAACCCTCTGCGGAGATCGTGCGTGTCGAGTGCGCGAAATGCA